ATGTTCCCTGAAAAAGAACAAGAGATATTAAGAGATATGCAAGACAGGATTCCAGAATTCCAGAAAAAAGTCAGGCTGTAGAGTTGTATAAAATTTATCAGCAGGCCTACTTTTAAACCAAACAGAACAAACGAACCTGTTCTTCATGCCTGAGTCACTTGTCCTGCATTCTCACTAATCATTCTTCCACTTAAAGGTTAAGTGAGGGTTGCATCACCTAATAAAAAGGCTGTCATATAGAGAGCTACGATGACATCATTATTCTTTACAAAATGAAAAGATTCTCATATTGACTGTTTCAGTTTGCAGAAGGCCAGGGAGGAAGAGTATAGAAATAAGGAGTATAGTGAGTAGCTGGTAAAATGGAAGGGTATGAAGGAGCAAATGAATATTTTACCAATAGTTCTAATACTAGAAGACGCAGAAGTATTAGAAGATACAGATTCCATCTTTCATGTCTTTTATTTAAAAAAAAAAAACAAGAAAGAAAAAAGGCTACAATTTTGAACATGTTTAAAGTCACATATTCTGTTTTGTGTTTAGAGAGACAGTCATCCAGTCATCACACCTGTAATCTCAGTATTTTGGAAAGCTAAGGTGGGAGGATTGCTTGAGGCCAGGGGTTTGAGACCAGACTAGCTTGGGAAACATAGTGAGACCCTGTCTCTTTAAAGACAAAAACAAAATTAGCTGGGCATGGTACCACATGCCTATAATCCCAGCTACTTGGTAGACTAAAGCGAGAAGATCACTTGAGCCAGGAGTTCAACGCTGTAGTGAGCTATGATCATGCTAATGCAATCTAGCCTGAGCAACAGAGACCCTGTCTCAAACAAAAAAAAAAAAAAAAAAAAGAAAAAGTCATATTCTAATACTTGAAACAAATTCATCCCGCATACTTAAAATTCTGTATCTTTTTCATCACTAGTATCACACAGCAGTTTTTCGGAATAAAAGAAAATAAAATAAGACAGTGTTTCAATCTGATTTAGATCTAAGAATCTTACTGATTTGTTGAAAATATTTAATCCTCTCTGCCCTGTCTTTATAATTTAAAAAATAGAAGTCAATGCATAAGAGTGATTAATCAAACCTAGTAAGAGACATATACTGAATTATGCTGGTTTTTTTTTTTTTTTTTTTTTTTGAGATAGAGTCTTGCTCTGTTGCACAAGTTGGAGTGCCATGGCACCATCGCAGCTCACTACAGCCTGGACCTCCTGGGCTCAGGCAATCCTCCCACCTCAGCCTCCTGAGTAGCTGGGACTACAGACATGGGCCACCACGCTCAGCTAATTTTTGTATTTTTGGTAGAGATGGGGTCTCACTGCATTGCCCAAGCTGCTCTCGAATTCTTAGACGCAGGTGATCCTCCTACCTCGGCTTCCCAAAGTGCTGGAATTACAGTTGTGAGTCACTGTGCCTGGCCTGAATTATGATTTCTTGTGCTGTCTGACCTATTTAGAACCAGTGAATTTTTACACAAACTCTCTATTGAAGAAGTCACGCTTTGCCTAAACTACCTTGGAAACATGTCTCCCAACCACCCGTTCCTTACATTTGCAATCAGCTCCATGACACTGTTCTTCAGATAGACCTTCTCCAATCGAGACATGCCGTTCCACCGAAACCTGGCCACCAAAATGCATAAAGTCAATAGAACCACTTTAGAAGTCTTGCCTTTACAAGAGAATAGCACTGATTTCTACATTTGATTCCACTGGAGATTTCATTATGAAATTATACTTTTGATTTTGTACCCGTCAACAAATGGACAAAAATGATCTACATTTAACCAAAATATTAACAGAAAAATTCTTGGGAAAAGGTTTTATATATGCAGTGGTCCATTAGCTGGAATCTGCACAAGATTTGTACCACACATCAGTTTCTCCTCATGATTTTATTGATGGGCCAAAATTGAATATACATCTAGGTCAACTCCAACAACGTACTCCAACAAGTGCAAGCAATGTACTTGCTTTTCAGAAAATGCAATTTTGACATCACTCATTTTTTGTGCTGGCTTACAAAATAATTCCAGAAAAACTATGGCTAAGTCTTGAAGGCTACCTCTTCTGGCAGGTGTTGAGGGTAGGACAATCAAGTTAGGAGGGGTTTTCAGTTATTCTCATATAATCCTACTTTGGATGTACTACCCAGAGAAAGCACACAAACTCAGAAAGAGAGAGAAAAAAGAAAGCCCCAGTGCCTAATGAGAGATTTACTGACCTATACATTGCATTACTCTAAAAAGGCTTCTAGGGCTACTGGCACATAGTCAGAGCTCAGTAAGTATTGGCTAAATGGCAGGTAATAATTGTTGAATGGGTAATATGTACCACACACTTTACATGGATGAAGAAACTGAAGAAAAGAAAGGTTAAATCTTGAATGAGAGCTCCTGTGAGGTTCTGATAACATCTAGGGGATCATTCCTTTCTTCTTGGAGACTGCTCTTCTCTACTCACCTAAACAGCATCTCTATAGGTTATATAAGATATAAAAATATGTTCTCTCAGACTTCAGTGGTAATGTCCAAGAGCTCCTTACTTGACAACGTGTTCCAGGATCTGAAGGCCAAAATGTCTGACGATGGCAATCTGTGTTTTCTCAGCCAACCTCAAGCCACAGGGGACACAGATAGGACACTTTTCTTTAAATTCTTCACAAAACTGAAAGAAGAAAAGTCAGCGTTTCCTTTGGAGGGCTGAGAGAATAGGGACTAAAGAATTTCATCTTAAGAAACTCCAACCAGGGCCACACCTGTCCCCAGACTCTGGGAGGCAAGATGGGTGGACAACTTGAGTCTAGGAAGTTTGAAGACTAGCCTAGGCAACATGGTGGAAACCCCATCTCTACTAAAATATTATATAATATAAATACTATAGATGTATTTTTTTTTTTGAGACAGAGTCTCACTCTGTCCCCCAGGCTGGAGTGCCCAATGGCATGATCTCGGCTCACTGCAACCTCTGCCCCCCAGGTTCAAGCAATTCTCCTGCCTCAGCCTCCCAAAGTGCTGGGATTACAGGTGTGAGCCACTATGCCAGCCTAAAAATATTTTTAAAAATTAGTCGGGCATGGTGGCAGGCGCCTATAGTCCCAGCTACTACTCAGGAGGCTGAAGTAGTGGGAGAATCACCTGAGCTCGGGAAGTCAAGGCTGGAGTGAGCCAAGATCTCACCACTGCACGCCACCCTGGACAACCAGAGTGAGACCCTAACTCAAAAGGAAATTCCAACCTAAGCTATATGTTTAAGTTGCAAAACCTAGATCAATATTATATGGATCTCCAAGCACAGTTGTTTTTAAAATATATATTTAATATACAAATATAAATAAAAAATATATAAAATGTTATATATATACATTTCCTCCAAGTGGTGTCCACTCTATTTTATGTATATATATCATATATATATTATCAGTAAAGAATTGATAAACATTTCTTCCAGTGTGATGGTTCCAGATTTTTTCCATGCTGTGGCCAACAGTAGCCGTACTAGTGTTGGAAAAAAATGGACCCAAAGGAATAAGAAATTTTTTGTTAGAGACATCCACCGATGTACATAGGGGTGAAATAACAATTTCTAGGGTTTCTTTTAAAAACCTTCGAGGCAGGGAGAGAGGACAGGCGGTGGAAAAAGCAAATGTGGTAAAATCTTTAATTGCTGAATTTAAGTGACAGGAACATGCAGAATCACTGTCGTATTCTCCCTACTTTTGTGTCTACTTTAAATATTAATAATAAAAACCAAACTAATAGAAGCCAACTGTTTCTGACTCCAAACCCTGTGGCATACATACACGTATTGTAACATTTCCTCCAAGTGGTGGTCACTCTCTTTTTCGAAGTTAACATCACTTTAAAAATGTACAGCACAAGTATTTTCTCCTAAATGGCCATTTCTCACAGCCCACACACGTTGTTTTGTGGGTAAGTAAGCTTGAATTGTATTAGGACCCTCAAACTGCAACATAAGTCAGTCCCAAGAGCAGAGCATTCGGGTCTCAAGCAAACTACTTTCAGGAAACCAAAGTGCCCTTGTTAAAATGCAAAGTAAGTGGTAGAAATTATCTTTGCGCAAAATAGCCTAAAAATATCACATTCAAAAACATGGGAGAGGTAGGGGTGCGAGAATTTCCTCAGAAAATGTCCAAGACACAAACGAAAGTTAGCGAGAGATGTTAAAGGCAGAAGGGTACTAGAGGGGCTGGAGCTCGGTCAGTTCGGGTCAGAGGAGTGAGCCAGCAAGAAAACGTTTAGTGCAAGGGAGACCATAAAGAATGAAGCTGGTGTTGGGGGCGGGATCTACACGTGCGCCTCGGGAAGGCGAGGGGATGTCGGGTTTGGGGAACGAAAATGGGCGAGGGTCGTGTTGCGAACAAGAGTGCAAAGAGAGGACAGGGGGAGGAGAGGGCTGTGGGAAGCAGCGGCGAGATGAGAAGCAGCTAGGGACCGGAGTGTCCCAGGCAAAGGACAGGAACAGCGAGTAGAGAAGGCGGGGGTTTGGGAGAGGCGCGGAGGGCCGCGAAGGGAAGGTCCCGAAGAGTTGGAAAAGGAGGTCCAGGGGCCGCGTGGGCGGGAGACTACCCCAGTTACAGGCGGCACCGGAGCTGCTGGGGCTGGGAGAGAGTGTCGGGATCGCCCCAGGACGCCAGGACCCCAGCTACCTTGAGGGCTTCCAGCCGGTACCGCTGGGTGGAGTTGGGGTCCATCATGACCGTCACCGCTTTCACCAGCTGCTCGCACAGCGCGTTTACTTGATCCATCGCCATGCCTAGTGCCACGCCTAGCGCCACGCGCCGAGAGCGCACACCACTGCAGTCCTGGGACCGCGAGGCACGACAGCTCCCTCGGCGAGACTACCCGTTGGTACCGGGCCGCTGCTGGCAAGCGGGGGTGGGAAGCTGGAGGAGGAGCGTGAGCACCAGCTCGCGCTGGGAAGATGCCGGCGCTGCGCACGCGCCCGGCCCGCCACTGCGCACGCGCCCGCGGAAGTGGCGGCTCCCGGGTGAAGGTTGAGCCTGGATGGGCGGGGCGGGAAGCGGAAGGGCGGCGGTGCGCAGCCGCGTCAACGGCCGTTCGTAGCGCGCGCGCTGTCTGACCTCAGTCTGGCAGCTTCGTAGCTGGGCGTGACGCTCTTGGCTTTTTGCTGCTGGGGGCGGTTGCCGGGGCAAGCTCCTTTACGACCCCTTCTCGGTTTCTCTGTCGTCACAGCGAACAAATCTCGCTCGAAACTCACTGGCCTGCTCCCAGAAAGGCGAAAAGATATTCAAGAGCCCTTCCGTTTTCCTTCCAGTGGACCCCGAGCCCAGCATTTGCGGCACCCGCTGCTGGCAGTTTTGCCAGGTGTTTGTTACCTTGGTAAGAAAATTTAGAACCGTTCGCTGTCAATGTGTTCAGACTTTCTATGTTGCCTTGGCTATTGGTTTTATAATGTAGCAGTGACTGGGCCAACGTTACGTGAAATATAAATCATGCTAACAGAGATAAGGCCCTAGTACTGTCCTCTAAGATTTTTCTTGTAGAAAAAAGTATGTTTTTCTCTGTAGTTCTTAAACCTCTGTCTTGGAATTATTTTCCTGAATGTATTATTACCTGGTGGGCACTAAACTTGTTTTGTGCGGATTGGGGTAACTCGAGATGTTAAAGGGAATAATTGCAATTAGTGAAGGTTTGTGCAGTTTTGATAGTTGGCCAAGTGCTATACGTAAGATTTCAAAGTAGTGTAATCCTTATCCAAAAGCATTGGCTTGGGCAGAAAGTCTGCTTCGTTTTCCATCTTTATAAAGCTCTTGGCCGGTCGCGGTGGCTCACGCCTGTAATCCCAGCACTTTGGGAGGCCGAGGCGGGCAGATCACCCAGGTCAGGAGTTCGAGACCAGCCTGGAGTTTCGCTAACATGATAAAACGCCATCTCTATTAAAAATACAAAAATTATTTTTGCATTTTTAGTATTTTTATACAGGCGTGGCGTCGCGCGCCTGTAACCCCAGCTACTCAGGAGGTTGAGATGGGAGAATCGCTTGAACCCGGGAGGCGGAGGTTTCAGTGAGACGAGTTGGAGCCATTGCACTCCAGCCCGGGCGACAGAGCGAAACTCCGTCTCAAAAATAAATAAATAAATAAAGCTCTTGCTTTCTCGAGTAAATACATAAACGGAAAACCTCAAAAGCTTTAGTATCTGTTAAAGTCTGCATGTCTGTTTTTGTGATTGTGTGCTTAGTAAATGGTTTGCTGAACTTAAATCACCGTTTCCTATTCCTGCTCCACTTCTGGTATTTGGACCTAATATGGTGCTTAGCCCGTGTTTTTTTTGTGACAATACCATTTGTTGGCTCAATCTGTTCCAGTACTACAGAAAAGTCCCTTCAAAGTAAAGGGATTTCTGGCATGTTACGGTTTTAACTGGTAAATGTTTAAAGTATCACATTCTGGCTGTTTTAGGCGAGTGGTCGATTGGAATTTATAAGGAATTAATGCTTTGACTACTGTGATTTTAATTATTTTTCTTTCCACTCACCCTCCTGCTTTGCAGTTGTAAGACTTTTTTTTTTCAAGGTAGTTGTTAGTTTTTGAAATACTTTTTTTAGAATACAGTTGGGTGCTCACTCAACTGTATAACCTGTGTTTCTCGTATTTAAATCATGGATTGCTGGTGTTTCGATTGTCTTATGTAGATCTTGGCTCCCAAACTGCTGCATATTGGAATTACCTGGAGAGCTTTTAAAAATCTCCGTCCGGGCGCGGTGGCTCACGCCTGTAATCCCAGCACTTTGGGGGGCAGAGTCGGGCGGATCACTAGGTCAGGAGATAGAGACCATCCTGATGGAGACCATTTCACCTAACACGGTGAAACCCTGTCTCTACTAAAAATACAAAAAATTAGCCGGGCGTGGTGGCACACGCATGTAGTCCCCACTACTGGGGAGGCTGAGGCAGAGGAATCGCTTGAATCTGGGAGGTGGAGGTTGCAGTGAGCTGAGATCTCGCCACTGCACTCCAGCCTGGGTGACAGACCGAGACTATGATAGGAAAAAAACAAAACAAAACAAAAATCCCCATGCCAGGCTGAGCGCGGTGGCTCATGCCTGTAATCCCAGCACTTTGGGAGGCCGAGGTGGGTGGATCTTCTGAGGTCAGGAGTTCGAGACCAGCCTGGCCAACATTGTGAAACCCGGTCTCTACTCAAAATACAAAAATTAACCGGGCGTGGTGGCATGCGCCTGTAGTCTCAGCTGCTTGGGAAACTGAGGCATGAGAATCGCTTGAACCCAGGAGACAGAGGTTGCAGTGAGCCGAGACTGTGCCATTGCACTCCCACCTGTGCAGCAAGAGCAAAACTCTATCTCAGAAACAACAACAAAAGAAAAAAAGAAAAAAACCCATGCCCAGGTCATACCCATACCGATTAAGTTAGTATATACAGTTGTGGAAGTCAAATATCAATAGTATTTAAAGCAGCCTGACCAACAGGGCAAAACCCCTTCTTTACTGAAAATACAAAAAGGCTGGGCGGGGTGGTACGCACATGTGTAATCCCAGCTACTCGGGAGGCGGAGGCTGAGGCAGGGGAATGGCTTGAACCTGGGAGGCGGAGATTGCAGTGAACCGAGATTGTGCCACTGCACTCCAGCCTGGGCGACAGAGCGAGACTCTCTCCTTTGGGGAGGCGCGAGACGGCGGATCACGAGAGGTCAGGAGATCGAGACCATCCTGGCTAACACGGTGAAACCCCGTCTCTACTAAAAAATACAAAAAACTAGCGGGCGCGGTGGCGGGCGCCCTGTATCCCAAGCTACTTGGGAGGCTGAGGCCTGGAGAAATGGCGTAAACCCGGGAGGCGGAGCTTGCAGAGCTGAGATCCGCCCACGCACTCCAGCCTGGGCGACAGACCAGACC